CATAAAATTTATGGATTTATTTATTTTAAACAGATTCTGTTTTTTTTTCAGATGATTGATTGTTCTCTTCAAGTGCATGCAGTGTAATTCCCCAGCTAGTGTTTTCTATTTGATAATGTATTAATGCATTTCATCTAGCACATTAAACATTGATCAGGTTTCTCCATGCTGTGGCCCTTTGGTCTATAATTAATTCATCTATTTGACCAAAGAGAGTAGTACTAAGTGGAGACAATAAAGGATAAACCAATTAGGGGATGCCTCATAATAACCAATAGCTGCTGCAAAGTTAAGTTTCAGACACAAGACCTAAAACCTCTTTTTGAATCAAAGCTTGAGAGGTCTGAGCATGGCTGGGCATGGTTAGATGTGCAGAGTTGAGCAAGGACAGAGTAGCAATGAGTTGGTGGTAAATCTTCCAAGTGTGCTGATCTTTAGAAACTTTTGCCAAGACTTCCAGAAAGCTATAGTGTGTATCAGAACACCTGACTGATTTGTTTTTTGTTTTGTTTTGTTTTGGGTTTTTTGTTTTGTTTTGTTTTGGGTTTTTTGGTGGTAGAGGAGGAGGAAAATGAAAGGAGAATTAAGTCACACTCCAGAAAATCAGACTTACTAAAAGCCTTATTTTTTTCCCCCTAAATCCCATTCATCATATCTTTTCCTCCTCTCCTCATACAAAATTTCAAAAATTCGTTCAGTATCTTGATTGTAAAGCCTCTTTTTTACTTTCCATCACAGCTTCTTCACATCCTTTCTTCTGCAGTCATTCTTTTCTCTTTTCCAAGATTATAATACCTTACTGTTGGTCAGGCATTGTACTAAGTATCTAAGTATTTCACATTCATTATCTCATTTAATCCGTATAGCAATCTTATTATCCCTATTTCCAGATGAAGACCTTGAGGCTTCAAGATGTCAAGTGACTTGTGTAAAGTCACGCAGCTCCTAAGTTCTAGAGCTGGGACAACACTCTATTGTATCCAGATGTGATAGGCTCTCAAAACCATGATCTTAGGTTCTCTGCTGTGATACATAGCCATATAAAACTTTTGGAAGAAACACAAAGGTAGAAATAGGCTTCTAAAAATATCTGTAATTTCTAAATCTACAGAGAACCAGAGCTGAAACCTTATCTCTTTTTTTTTTTCCAGTATTTTTAATGCATAATGAAAAGGAATTTTTAAAATTTTAATAGCATTTAGTGATTATTTTTAATGCATTAACATCCTTAAAAATGTACAAAATCACACATATTTATAACAGACATACTTAATATCTATGAAAGAAAGTATATATTAAATGTTATTTTAAATTATAACTTCAAAATGAAACTAATAATTTAAATATTGTTTGACTTTTTAATGATACTAGTTCATGTTCCAGAATACTAAATTGTTTAGTGCAAAATTTAGATGTGATTCTTTGGACATGTTAATAATAAAATATCTCTTTTGTTTCTGAGATATTTTCTGCAAGGAAATGTACCAGAATATTCAAAAGAAATGAGACTAGGAAAAGATTAAAATTAATCTTTTAATCTCATGGAAAATTCCAGTCAACAAGAAGAGTAGTAGATTTATATCTGAAACAACAAATACTGAAAGAGTGAAACTATCAACTTAATTATATGGGTAGAGTACAGAGGAAATTTGTATATAAATGGCTTTCCTAATACAATGGCTCGAAAATAGGAAAAAAGGCTGAACTTTTTACTGGGACAAAGTATTTTTTTGAGTATGAAGCTAATAATAAATTTATGTGTTTCGAAATGAATGCCAGTGGTGCCTTTACTCACAATTAGCTACTGATAGAGAAAGCAAATTAATTTTAAATAGCTATGACCCTCTAACCAAATGCTATTTTAAATTACAGGAAGTTAAGTGCCCTAGTGTGGCTTGGTAATCTTTCCATTCTGTTTTAAGAACTTGAATATAAACACCTTTTCTCGCACTCCCATTTTTTTCTTTAATTTAAAATAATTAGTTCCGAATAACTTGGTATTATCATCAGCTACAGAAAAAGACAAAAACAGGTAGAAATCATATGCATGCCCTCACCAACAATGTGATCTTGTCAGTAAAATTTCGTTATCTGTAAAATAAGGATCAGTGCTTCATATTAGGTCTGATTTAAGTATGACCGAATAAGAATGGTACAGCACATAGTAAGCCCTCTAAAAATGTCATTTTTCATCCTGTTCACCTTATAACAAATCCTTGAGCACCGCATCTTTGACTCACCTGTCGATAGCTGCTGTAATGCTCAGATGTGTGGTGTTTGACAGTTTATACATACATTCATATACATTATCTATCTGATTACTCCTAACTCTGGCTGTGCCTGCTTCCTTTCCATGGGAAACTGAAGTTCAAAGAGATGAAGTGACGACCATGGTCACACAGCTGATATACACAGATGGGACTCAAAACCAAGCCTACTGACTACTAGCCCAATGCTCTTCTCAGTGCACTAAAGCTGTCTACTTCATCCACTTCATCATTCAGGGAAAAATAGCTGATTTAGGCTCTGATTTCCTCAATCCAGCAATCGACATGGTTTCCACTGTATACAAAAAGATAAAATTTACTCAAGTTTGTATAGATACAGCATCCAGAATTTTTTTTAATGTCAGGCACTCCCTTTTACAGCCAGCGGTGTTTTAAGTTATGATTAGCATTCTGAGCATAGGGTGATGGTAAACATTATGTTTTTTGCATTATCATGAGATGACAAAATTACCCACTCTCAAAGGACCAGCTGCTACAGGGAGGCTGATACTCTTAATGCCTACATTCTCAAAACTATTTTAATTGGTTACTTTTCTGTGATTTTATTTAGCCAGTCAGAGAGGAAATGTATGTGTAAACCTGTTAAAACTATAGCATCTTTTATCATGAAATGATATCACTAAATCTTAGTGAGTGAAATGTTCCATATCAAGATTTTGAGGTTAATCAGGGTTCTCGCTGAGATAAGAATTTCTATAACTCAGATCTTCAAACAGATATAGAAAAGTCATGGACAAAAATGATAGAAAATTCTTCCAATTCTTTTTATATAATATTTCTACTTCTATGTTATAATTTTGAATTGGTGTACACAATATACATAAATCTGTTCATTACATTAGATGTACAGAAGGTCCTCAAATAGCATCATTTTGTTCAATGTTATTTTGATATAATGTTGAAGAGATGCCATGTGAACTTAACTTTTATTTATATCAATTAGCCAATGGTAAAATTGATTTTGTTATACATCATTTCACTTAAAGTCACAGAACCTATTGACAACATTGAGGACTTACTATACGTGGTCCTAAGAAGAAAAAGTCCAAATTTTGAAATTCAGATTATATCCAATCTCTACTCAAATAACTGACAGCTTTATACAAAGAACTTACCCACTTGGAACAACTCTCATTCTATAATGTGGATAATATATCTTATTCTACAAGATTATGAAAATGATTCAATAGTTAAGAATATTACAAATCAACAAATTTGCACCGCTACCAATAACAACCATTTATTAGGTGTTTATTACATACCAGGGTTTGTGCTAATATTTAATATTCCCCCAAAATCTTTATATTAGGTGTTACTATTATATCCATTTTACAGATGAGACTATGGAGGCTTAAAGAGGTTAAGAACATTACCAGTGTTTATAAACTTTGAAAGTGGAGGGCCTATTAATTGAACTTAGACTTATTCTTTCATTCATTTAACAAATTATTTGCTAAGGAATCTATCTGAACAAATTGGTCACTGTGTGGGAGAAGGAACTGGGGAATGGAAGGTGAATAAGCAACCAACCGTATTCACTTTACCCTGGCCTCTGTGGGGAGAATGGACTGAAGGTGACAAGAGAGGATCCAGGGAGAGTAGGTAGAAGACTGTGTATGTAATCCGGATGAGAGGTGATGTTGACTTCAACCAGGTGCTAGCAGTGCAGATGAGGAAACTTGGATAGACTGCAGATATCCTTTGCAGGTAGAGCTGAATGTGTGGTGGTGTTGGGAAAGAGGAGTCAAGCAACATTTCTTACACTGAGCAATATGGTGGGGAGCACTAGAACTGAGATGGGGAACACTAGACAGGATATACAGAAAGAGGGATACATCTTTTTCATTTCAAGGTTCATACTTTTAATCATTACTAATATTATCATTAATTATTATCATAACCATAAAAGAGATTTGAAGTCAATGGCTACATAGCTATAAACTACCTGAAAAGCTTTCGGAAAAGTCAAATTATTCTTTCCCATGAGAAAATGGCAAAAAGGAAAGTTTAATGTAGAATTTATCATAATTCTTAGTTTCAAAATGAGTACCTTGGCAAGAATTGTCTGAGTTTTTTTTTGAGGGGGCGACGGGAAGGTGAAATCTGAGCTTTAATACCTATAATATTGTGAGATGAAGTTGAAAAAACAAAGACAAAAACAAAAACACTGTAAGATAATTTGCCAGAGAACAAAGAAGTTTATTTTTGGTGATGGAGTTGTATATATATTTTTCTTCTGTCTGCATTGTTATATTTTTCAGATTTTCTAAAATGATCACATATTACTTTTATAACTAATAAATTAAGAATTCAAGAAAATTAATTTATAGTTACATTTGCTATGTCTATATAGAAGTAAAATTGTAACCCTCAGTCTAACCAATTAAAATCAATCAAAATGATGAGGTAACTGGCAGAGACTTTAAAATATGTGTCCTTTTAACTACACCACTTGTGATGCAGTCCCATTCAGAGTTGACTGGAATTCAGGATAGGACTTGACTATAGTGTAGTTAGTATGCGGAAGCCTAGGGAAACTGTTTGTTTTTCTTTTTTTAATTTCCTTCATCTGAAATACTCTTTCCAAACTTAAGCATTTTAAAATTGCTTATATTCTTTGCTCTCCCACTTCTTAAGGTTAGATGATCACAGTATTCTTTAAGAAATCCTCCTAGCGACTTCTGACCTTCACGTCTTTTTTCTTCCTTTCAGGGTCAACGACTGTATCTTACGGGTGAACGAGGTCGATGTGTCTGAGGTTTCCCACAGTAAGGCCGTGGAAGCCCTCAAAGAGGCAGGCTCTATCGTCCGGTTGTACGTGCGCAGAAGACGACCCATTTTGGAGACCGTTGTGGAAATCAAACTGTTCAAAGGGCCTAAAGGTAATAAAACCATGAATGACTGATAATAGGACACCAATGACAAACCATTTGGCCAAAGTTTATGCCATAACCCATCTCCGACGTACTCCTTTTTTTTTTATCCTCCAACATTCAGTGTCTACCAAGAAATCTGAAATCCTGCAGTAGTGGTTATTACAGAGGGTAAAGGAAACCGAAGCTCTAAATATGAACTCAGAGAAGGAAAGGATAGATTTATGTTGGAATGTCCTTATAAACAATAACAACAACCATTTATATTTTTTCTATAAATTTTACATCTTACCAAATCATCATGAGTCGGCCTGCATATTAGTACTTTGTAATTTTTCAGATACAAATGGTTACTCATCTCATTTGGGAAAATAGTAATGATAATAATAGTCTATCTTGAAATAGCAATTATCTATTTTTAAAACACTGTTGTGATTTGTTTAGACTTTATAATATTCTCGTGTTATACCCAACAAGTACTATATAACAATTTATACTTGCAGTACTCAAAATAAGTTAAAATTCATTTTTTTAAGATGTTCACAAAAATTACCTCTCTTGAGGTAGTTGCAGTTACCCTGGGGGATCACATAAACAGTGAGATGAATAACTATATTAGTTTTTAAGAATAGTTCTTTGAGCTATGCTCTTCAGAATGATGACATTTAATATTAGCTTAACAGTATTTCACATACTTTTTAAAAAAAAAAACGAATAAGTGGCTCTTAAATAGTATTTTAAATATTTTAGAAGATTATGAGTGGATGGTTACTATACTCTTTTAGTAAATCATTTCTCTTTCTCTTAAATCAATTTAATCTCTAATGCTATATGTGATTCAAAATAATGGGGCACACCACCTTCTCTGGAAGGCAGTAGTGGATGGCATTTAAGATCGCAGAAACTCATGGACATTGACTATAGAATAGTGGTTTCCAGAGGGTAAGGGGTGGGGGGAGGGGGAAGGTAGATGCGGTAAAAGGGGTCAAATATGTGGTGACAGAAAGAAATCTAACTACTGTATCTTACGGGTGAACGAGGTGAACGCACCATGTAAGTATATATGTGCCTTACTGTTAAAGTGTACAACTGAAATTTACTAGATTTCATTAACCAATAGCACCATAAAAAAAATATTAATTAATTATTTAAAAAATCTCAGAAAAGTATGACAGGACTGAATTTAAAGAACTGGTTCTGCCACTTACTAACAGAGTGATGTTGATTGGATCAATCTCCTCATTTTTAAATGGGAATCATATTGGTAGCATCTATCCCATGGGGTTTATGAGAGTTACGAAGCTGACTAATATCCAGCACATGGTGAGCAGCAGAGCTTGCTAGTTAAAAGTACAAACTCCAGGACCAAAATGCTAGGTGTGCACCCTAGCTCTTGTTAACCTAAAAATAGAAAGCCAAGGTAAGAGGCAACAAGTGTTTATTTGAAATGAAAAAGAATTGCACTTCAGGGAAGCATTGATTCAGGCAGAAATAGTGTCTCAATTATGAAATGAAGGCAAAGGGTATTTATGAGAAAGGGAGGGGAAATAATTACATGAATAGAAGGAAGGAATTTCTATTGGTGCCAATTAGCCAAGGAAGGAATTTCTATATGTACAAATAAGCTAAGTTATTTTCTAGCTATACATAGTGGTGCTAATTCTAAAGAATATCCTTAATTTGAAGTCCTCATAGACGGGATGTCTGCTTTCCTATCAGCTTTATAAATGGTTGTATGGAGTACAATGTTGATTTGGCCTATTCCACAGGTTATTTTACCCAGTTCAAACATTCCCAAGGTTTGAGGAGTAAAATATGCAAGGTAATTCCTCTGGGATAAGAGCTCCGACTTCATTTGGAAATGGCTCTATTTATATCATTTTTCACATTCTGCAGATCACTAGCTCTTTGACCTTGAACAAATTGCATAGTCATTGAGCCTTAATTTTCTCACCTACAAAATGTGAATAATAATAGCTCTTGCCCCTAGAGATGCTGTGAGGATTAGGTGAATCGATTCACATTAAGTGTTTAGAATAGTGATTGCCCAGCAAATATTAGCTACATGTTATTTGTAATATTCTTTGCTACATATGATTTTAACCTTCATAACAATTGTTTGGTAATATAATAAAAAATACTCAGATTCATCATGGGCTAAGTTTAAATCATTAAAATCACAGAATAATGTAGGGATTAAAAGGAAAAGAAGTATGGCATTTCCATACCACAGATTCTGGTAGTACAAAAGAAAGAAAGTTCTCTCCTACATATGTACTAAAATTATATTTGCAAAGTGCTTTAAAGTTAAATAAATGAGCATCACACTATTTCTATTAAAAAGATATACTACATATAATGTGTAGATATGTTTACAGTTCAATTATTCAGCACAACTATAAAGCAAATACTAGTTTTAAGCACTGGGCAAAGTATTACCGTTCATTAATAGGCCTCCTGCTAGCTGAGTCGCTTGATGACCTCCAGCTACTCAGCAGAGCAATTATAGGCTCTATAGAATCCATAGCCAGAACTCTAATTTTACCAGGAACACATTTTTTTGGATCTTCGCCTTTGATACCATAGCTCCTTCAGGCTGATTTATTTGGGACCGAACTCTTTTCTCCTTTGATTCTGGAGTGGAGCAGGAATTGCCTTGGGGCATGAGAGTGGATACAGATGAACATTAATCAACCAGAAATACTCAGCAATAACCCAATAAAAGTACACAGCATAGGAGTGATGAGGTTATACCTGGGCTTGGTCTACTGAGACAAGGAGAACAAGGAAACTGTTAGAACTGACTTTACATCCCTGGAAGCAGGCTCCTGCCAGATCCCTACAGAGGGGTGTGGGAATGCTGGTCCTGTTGCAATTATGCTGGGCCAGTTATGCTTTTTCATACTGTCACCGTACAAAGGTCACTAATGCTTGTTGATTTACTAGGAAAGAAACTGTTTTAGTCATGCTTCTTACAGTGCCTTGAATGCAAAAATTGCTTCATCAGAGTAAAATGAATTATTAAATTAGATTCTATACTAATGACACATGGCAATCTTAACTTAGCACCTTATAATTCTTTATTTTTCAATTACGATATATTTAAAAGACATTTTTACCAATGCTTAACTCATACCATGGAAACTCTTGTGCACTGTGGAGAATGAAAATGAATCAGATATGATTCTGATGGGAGAATCAGAAAGTTCTAATGGGAGAGAGAGACATAAAGTCAACTAACTTTAATGCATGACAAAATGAAATCAGCTCTGTGATGGAGCTTGAGCTGTGATTCCAATCAGGCATAAAGAAAGAGGTTGTTTGTCTTAACCAAGAAAGCCAAAATGCTCCAGAGTATTTCAAATTTAACATTTGGTCACAGGTCTTTATCTGCCCTTTGTTAAATGTGTGGGCACTCTGTATGGTAAGCTCAACATTTTAGCCAACTGATCTAACTAGCCTCGATTATGTGTATGTAATACAGAGCTAACTGGATGTATTCATTAATTTAGTCCTTCACAAAGAAAGTATAAAAAGTTGTTGCTCAAGGAGATTATAGTCTGATGGAGAAAACACCTATAATATAAATTAGGAAAAGCACTATGAATGGACAAAAAAATATATAAGGAGGTGCCAATTAAATAGTAGGTCAAAAAGACTTATCTCAGGAAATACCATTTAAGCTAAACCTGGAAATATAAATAAAAATAGAAGCTAGCCAGATAAAAAGTAAAGGAGAGTATCCAAATGGAAATAAAAGCATGTGTGCATGAAGGCCCTAACATAGCTTGTGATACCTTCTAGGAACTAAAAGAAGTCAAACATGATGGAAGTTTAATAATAGAATAATGAATGACATTAAATGATATTTTCAAGATAAGCAAGGGCCAGATCATGTACAGATTTGTTGACCACATGTAAAGATTTGTGTTCTCGTTTTAAGTGAAATGAGAAATACATAGCAAATTTTCAGCATGAGAATAACATGATCAGATTTGTCATTTTTAGATCATTCAGCCACTGTGAAGAAAATACATTGAAAGGGGTAAGAACAGACATCAGTTAGGGGTTACCTGACAAAAGAAGGTGGAGACAGGTAGACAGATTCAAGTCATATATTAGAGATATAATTGATGCCACTCACTAATTACCTAAATTTGGTGTTTGTCAAGGATGAGGCCATTTTCTAACTGAGCAATTGAATGTATTGGGGTGTTATTTGTGAAATGGGGAAGACTGTAGAGGAACTCCTGTGGGGAAAAGTTTAGGAATTCATTTTTGGACACGTTGGGATATGATGAACCGAAAAGGCGATCTCAACGGGACAAAACTGAAGAACATGCCTGAAAATCCTGTCAAAATAATATCTGAATTTTCCCTATATTTTATAAAATATCTGGATTTGGGGAAATGCCCAAATAATTGAGCTTCTTTTTCTCAATAATCTTTAATATAAAAATCATGAATATAGCTGCCTCAGCTGTTTGAACAGTTGTAAACATTTGTTAAATCTATTTTATAGGCATTTTTAATACCAGACTTTTTTATTTTGAGATGGTTTGGTTAAGTTTATTTGTTTTCACATGTGACAATAGGTAAACAGTGTTATTTCTTGTATAGATAAAATATTAAGGGGTTCTCTAAAACAGTAATTTGTGGCAGAATTAAATCTATAGTTTTCCGATTCTATACCTTGTGTTTATTCCATGTATTGTATAAATTACTAATCCTGAGATGACCTGTGATTCCATCTTTATAGCAGTGTTCATCTTCCCAACTGGAATCATCTGGCTGATGATTTATGGCCATGTATTTCAGTAATTTATATTTGAGTAATATGCAATTCTGATTTAGACTGTGTTTTCTTAACAATATATAAAAATTTTCCTAACCTCGCAGTTATATCATTTGGTCATTGCAAGCAGCTGGGATGTCTGTCTGTGGACAGTCAGTTAAAAAAAAAAAAATGGATAATCATGGGTAGGAAACAGTGATTAGGCAAATTCATT